CAGATGCTACAAATGCCTTGGTTACGGACACACCACCCACTCGTGCAGTGGCCCGGACCGCGCGAAGCTCTGCAGCCTATGCTGCAGTGAAAATCACAGRGCCTCAGCCTGCACCTCSCCTCCRAAATGTGCAGCCTGCATGGACATGAACGAGCAAACAAACCACTATCCTGGMAGCAGCAAGTGTAATGCACACCGCATTGCACTGTCCAGAAAGAAAACGCCAAACACAGAGCAAAGGGAGTCAGACACAGAGCCTGACATCCAAAGCACAATCCAAAATGCCTAGATATCTGCAGATAAACCTGAACTGCTGTAAAGCAGCTCAGGCTCTGTTGCATCAAGTAGCAGCAGAAWACGCCGTGGACATAGTACTGGCAAGTGAGTTTCACAGGRAAGAAGGACCYAACTGGCACGMCGACACAACGGGAAAGGCAGCCATAGTAAACGCAAACAAAACGAGATTGAACAACGAGGGTACAGGAGAGTCAGGCTTCAGGTGGGTGTCCGTCCATGGGCTGAGACTGTTCTCGTGCTACTGGTCACCCAACTCCACGTACCAGGAATTTACAGACTTCATAAGCAGACTCGAAAACATGATAAGGAGCGAGCCAGGCGAGGTCCTCCTTGCGGGCGACTTTAACGCCAAACATGTTGACTGGGGATGTCCGAAAAACGACAAGAGAGGCGAAGCCCTCATGGACATGATCAACGCCACGGGAATAGTCATATGCAACAAGGGTAAATCTAGCACGCATAACAAAGGATCCATCATCGACCTGACCCTAGCGACTYCCAAAACGGCTAGCAAAATGACAAGGTGGGAAGTCCTTGACAAGGAATCCCTAAGTGACCACTACTACATACTGTTCGAGATCGATCTCGGACCCCCAAGCASCCAAACACAGAGAAGGTTGAAAATGGACTACAAAAAACTAGAAACACTCCTCGCATCCGACCGACTGATAGCAACGCTCAGCGGCCTAGATGCAAATCAAAGCGCACTCACCCTGACGGACTCTATCAAAGCATGCTGCACGACCCCTCGAAGCGGACAAAAGGCCAGAAAGTCGGTGCACTGGTGGAGTGCAGAAATAAGCACACTACGACAGACAGCAAACCATCTACGGAGAGTATTCCAGAGGAAAAGGAAGAGACACGGCTCCGCTGCAAGCACAGACGAAGAATCAAGATGTAAGACGGCAAAAAGAGACTTAGCGCAAGCGATAAAAAGAGCGAAGGAGTCGGCGTGGAGGAAACTGTGCGACCTTGTACAGAATGATACGTGGGGACTCCCGTACAAGCTGGTGACGGACAAACTGATCAGGCCACCCCCAATACCGGAACTGGACACTCCGGGCAGGCTACGGCACATAGTAGACGGGCTCTTCCCACAACACCCCAAAAGAGAAATAATCGATTGGCC